GTTACAAGCAGTAAGTAGGAACTCTGTTGTTAGTTGATTGGCAGATTGTTTTCCTGGGGTAATAAACCCTTCAAAATCCATGACTGTTTGTGGGACACTGTTGTGCATACTTGGCTGCCACATTTCGCCCACAAAATGTAGAGTCACTTCACTTTACAGTATATTTTATGAAGTGCTTTGAGGACGTCTCAACGACGTGATAAGGCGTTATATCAAATGCAAGGATTATATATTTTTATAACTGTCAGCCTAATCTTGCTCAATATTCAATAACTTGAATCTGCTCAGTCCTCAGTGATAGATCATTGACAGAATTGCCGCCTTTCAAATGGAAATGTTAAACTGAGTTCGCATCTTTCTCTTCAGGGGACGTTAAAGATACCTTAACACTGGCAAAAAGAGTAGCAATTTTTTCCAGTGTTCTGGTCAAGAATTTTCCAGATAAATTGGTCTTTAACTTCATCACTATTTGGGACATTAAACCAAATGCAAGGATAAGAGTATCAGGAAAAATAAGAAAAATTTCACATCATATTTAATTTGCAGATAACCCTAATAAAGATGCGCATGGAGGAAGGAAACTTACCTAAGGTTTTGCTCCACCCGGGGATCGAACCTGAGTCCTCTCTGTTTAACCAATACGCTTCAGGTCTCCAGGTCAGGCAGATGTAACACTGAATGCTATTCAGCAATGAGCTGAATGCACAATGTTAATTTTGCACAAAAGTAGAAGTAATATCAGGAATGCAAAATTATCCTTTGCATTATATTTTCCCAATTACATTTACAGTCATTTCTATGATTCAAAATACAATCCACTTTAAATTTATATAGTGCCTTTCACATAAGGGGACATCTCTAAGCACTTGACAAAGCTGGCCAGGCATTCGAGACGGGGGTAGGAGCTAAAATAAGATTGGAACAGAAAATCTAGAATGCAGCTAAATAACAAAGAGGTGTACATTTACAAAGATGTGATTATCTGTCACGATTGGTAATGAAATGTGTTTCCTCATTCATTCTCATCATTTTTATATTAAAGCCTCTTGTTACCCAATGCATCTAGCAATTGAAAACTGGTCCCAGAACCAGTTTTCCAGAACCAGCATTAAACACCTGTCTTGCAATGCAGGACAGGATCCCAGAAAAGGCTTAAATAATGTAATCTTTACATTTGATGTAGAATCTATAATGTTGACACATCACAAAGCACTTGACAGGGAATTGCTGTCAAGTACGTATTTGTCAGCAAACTTGGCAGCCATTTTTCACACATCAAGGTCGCACAAGCAACAATGAGATGAATGATCTATTTACGTGAAGGACTGTTGTCCAGGTTACGGGAGCAGGAGAAACTCCCTTCTCTTTGTGAATGGTGCCAGGGGATTGTTAATGTACTCTGAACAGGCAGATGGGACTTCGCTGCAACTTCTCATCCAAAGATTGGCACCTTTGACAATGAAGTGCTCCTCAGCATGTTGCCCTGGAGTGTCAGCCTAGACTGTTGTTTAAAGGGGAAGGGAGATAGTAATTACTGAGGAGGATCCAAATAAAATACAGGTGGATATTGAATAGGATAGCTCAATGGGCAGACAAGTGGCAGATGGAATTCAATGAAATAGTTTCAGGAGGAAAAATATAGGAAGAACCTATAACTTAAAGAGGGCAAATCTTAAAAGGGATAAAAGAACAGAAGAATGGAAGAGAACATATTCACAGGCCACTGAAGGCAGTGCCCCGGGTAGGCAAGGCCATTAAAAAGCCAATGGGACTTTGGGGGTTTATAGCTATGCGAATAGAGTCTAAGGAAAGGAGGTCAAGTGGAATCTGTACTAAATGATGGTCAGGCCACAGTTGGGATACTGTATGCAGTTTTCTGCTCCTCATTATAGTAGAGATGTTCAGGTGCTGGAGACAGTGCAGTGAAGATTCACCAGGATGTTGCCTGGAATGAGGAAATGCAGTTAAAGGAAAAGGCTTAATAAACTGTGACTTTTTTCTTTGGAGCTCAGAAGGCTGAGAAAGGATATGATAGAGGTGTACAAGATGATAGGGCTTAAACAAGGTGAAAAGGAAAGATTACTTCTGATGGTCAGGGGTCGAGAACTAGAGGGCATAGTTTTAAAATCAGAACTGGGAGGTCCAGAATGGGGATTAGGAAACACGTTTTCCCACAGAGAGTGGTGGGAGTGTGGAATTCTCAGTCAGTTGTTGGGGTACGTTTGCACTTTTTAAATAAAAAAAGACTAGACACATGGTCAAGAGAAAATAAAGTTGAGGGGTATGGAGAAAAAGGCAGGATGTGGGATAACAACAACAAAATTACATTTGTATAGCGCCTTTTATGTCAGGAAGTCGTCCCAAGGCACTAGACAATCAGTGTTTCGGACCCGAGCTGGGGATCAGGGAAAGTGGAGGGCAGTGGGGGAAGGAGGGTGATCGAAGGCATGGTCAAAGACGAGGGTCTTGAGACCGGTTTTGAAGAAGGCAAGGGAGGGGGCGAGGCAGAGGGTCTATAGGATGGAGTTCCAGAGGGTGGGGCAGAGTGCCTGCCAATGGTGGGGCAAGCAAGGTGGGGACATGAAGCAGGCTGGAGTCCGCTCAGCGGAGGGAGCAGGCACGTTGGTAGGGGTTAGGAGGTTACAGAGGTTGGGGATAGCAAGGCCATGGAGCTTTGAAGGTGAAGACCAGGATTTTGAACTGTATCCTCTATGTGATGGGAAGCCAGTGGAGTCGGGCGAGGATAGGGGTGATTGGGTCACGGAGCCCGGTCCAGGAGAGTAAACAAGCTGGATAAGAGATAGGATCTAGGAGAGCCTTCTGGCAGACTCCACTGGGTCCCCATAATCAAAAGGATCGACTTCAAGATTCTCACACTTGTGTTCAAATCCCTTCACTCTCTGACACCTCCCTACCTCTCCGACCTCTTCACTCCGCAATCCACTACCAGGCAACTCCGCGCGACTGGCACCGGCCTCCTGCTCATCCCTCGTAGCCTCCTCCCCACCATCAAAAGTGCATAAGTCAAGCTTTCAAGCCACTACACCCTGAAACTCTGGAACACTCTCCCTCAAACCCTCCGCCTTGCCTCCTCTCTCCTCTTTTTCAAGCTTGCCTGAAAACCTTCCTCTTCGACCATGTTTTCGGCCACCTCCCCATCCCCTCGGAGCTCAGAGTTGGGCTCCCACCACTGATAAACGCTCTGAGACGCTACCCTGTGTGGAGGGCGCTATTGCAAGCGCAAGTTGTTGATGTTGCATGGATTCTAAACATCGGGACTAGATGGGTTGAACGTTCAGTTTCTGAACTGTGAAACCTCATGATCTCTGGTGGCCATGAACTTTGGTTCTTTTTTTAATAACAAGGATTATTATATTTGATAAATAGCGCCTTATCACTTCTTTGAGACATCTCAAAGCGCTTCACAGAATATACTATAAAGTGAATTGCCTATATTTTGTGGGCAAAGAGGCAGCCAATTGTACACAGCAGTGTTTAAAACTGCGTTGAAAGAAAAGTCTTCGGGGAGGGGATGTTTTGTAGCTTTATAATCTCAAAAAACAATTTTCATTCGGCTCGCGGCCGAAGCCATTTTTTTTAAAAAAAACGCGCAGGACCACAAAAACACGGCCAATTGGTAAGAGAAGAGCAATTAATAATTCATACAAACATTTTCAAAATAATAATAATAATAACAACAACGCAATACAAAACAAACGAAAGAAAAACGCCTGATGTTTCATGAGCGATGGGTTTTCGATTCATCGGGTTTTTCTTTTTATTTATAAATAAAATTATAAATAAAAGAAAGAAAGAAAGAAAGAAGAGATAAAAGGATTTCAAAAGAATGACAAATCATTCAAAAGAGGGGGAGGGAGGGGGGGAAAAAAAAGTCCAGGTGAGAGCCTAGACCCCAAACTCTGGCACCAAGTGGGAGGAGCTGAGAGGCGGGGCTTAGAGAGACCCGGAAGTCTGGTGCCTGGGGGGGGCGGAGCTACAGGGCCCATTGTGACGGTAGCGATGTTTGGAACGTTGCTGCTCCTCGGCGTTCTGAGCGTGACGCGGCCTCTCACCAGCTGTGGGGGAGGAGGGGACACACGGGCTCTGGTGGTGCCTCACAGCCACATGGACGTCGGTTGGGTATACACTGTGCAGGTGGGACTTCTTTTGGGGGGGGGTCTTGTCCTGCCCTTGCCTGCCATTGCCCTTGCCCTGCCTTGCCCTTGCCTTGCCCTGCCTTGCCTTGCCTTGCCTTGCCTGCCTTGCCCTTGCCCTGCCTTGCCCTTGCCTTGCCCTGCCTTTGCCCTTGCCTTGCCCTTGCCCTTGCCTTGCCATTGCCCTTGCCCTGCCTTGCCCCTGCCTTGCCCTGCCTTGCCCTGCCTTGCCCTTGCCCCTGCCTTGCCCTTGCCCTGCCTTGCCCTGCCCTGCCCTGCCTGCCTTGCCCTTGCCCTTGCCTTGCCCTGCCTTGCCCTTGCCCTGCCTTGCTGCCTTGCCTTGCCCCTTGCCATTGCCCTTGCCTTGCCATTGCCCTTGCCCTGCCTTGCCCTGCCTTGCCCTTGCCATTGCCATTGCCCTGCCTTGCCCTTGCCCTGCCTTGCCCTGCCTTACCCTTGCCCTGCCTTGCCCCTGCCTTGCCCTGCCGTGCCCTTGCCCTTGTCCTGCCTTGCCCTTGCCTTGCCTTGCCCTTGCCCTGCCTTGCCCTTGCCCTGCCTTGCCCTGCCTTGCCCTTGCCCTGCCTTGCCCTTGCCCTGCCTTGCCCTTGCCTTGCCATTGCCCTTGCCCTTGCCCTGGCTTGCCTTTGCCCTGCCTTGCCCTGCTCCCCCCGCCCCCTTATCCCGCCCCCCCGCGCAAACCCTGTCCGCGGAGCCCTGCAGCCTCGGCGGTCAAGAGCGCTCGCCTTTTGCGGGCGAGACGCCCGGCTTCGTTTCCAGGCAGATCAGGGCGACACCTCGGGCGAGTTTGCTCGCGCTGCGCGCCCCGAATGACGAAACCGAACGATGAATCAATCGGTCCATTTGCAATCCGCCACTGTTCGCAACTGGCTGCCGCGTTTCGCCCACAAATATATACGGTCGATTCACTTTACAGCGTATTCCGCGAAGCGCTTTGAGACGTCGAGAAGACGTGAAAAGCGCTGTATCAAATGCAAGGATTGTTATTATCAACCCAGTCACCTCCTGTTCCCGGGTCTTGCATTCCCTCCCGCAGGAGGGAGAGAAAAATCCTGGTTGAGCCATCTTACTATCACAAGTCAAGTCATTTCCTTCCCTCTTTCTCCTCGCCCCCACCCCCGCCAACTCGGTGTGAATATGGGGAAAAGCTTATTTTAAGTTTGGGTTAGAGAGTTAACAGTGATTGTTCCAGATTTTTTTTCCCCAAAATTTGGGGGAAATGGAAGATGTTATTGTTGTTACGTTGTAAGTGTCGATTTCAAATCCCAAGTTTTGACTCGAAATCAGCTACATTTTGAAACCAAAACAAACAATAATAAATAACAAGAAAATAATAATAATCCTTGCATTTGATATATCGCTTTATCACGTCGTCGAGACATCTCAAAGCACTTCACAGGAGAGCAATGTAAAGTGTCATAATTGTATTTTAGAGTGAAACATTGGCACTGTAGGCAAAACATCAGTGTGCCGGCCCCACTCTTATCCCTTTAGAAGTTCGATAGCTTTAGCTTTAACCTGAGAGAATTGACCTTAACGTCACCGCTGACGTCAGCACCAGGCACTTGTTGTAGCTCCACCATTTGTCTCAATTTAGCCAGTCTTGCATTCAAACAAATCGCTTCTCTCAGAAATCTTGGTAAGCTGCCTAGTTTGCCATTTTGTTTACTTTAGATCAAATACATGAGACGCCGTCCGGCGTGGAGGACGCAATGTAAATCCAAGTTGTTGTTGTCGTACATAATGCATTTTATAAACAAATACATTTTATAAATAAAATCGATAATTCTGAATTAATAGAAGTATATTATAATCCTTGCATTTGATATAGCGCCTTATCACATCATCGAGGCATCTCAAAACACTTCCCAGGGTATACTGTACAGTGGATAAACTGTATTTTGTGAGCGAACGTGGCAGGCAATTAGGGCACCGCAACATCACAAAACAGCCGTGGAGTTAATGACCAATTTTATTTGTATTGTATTTGAGGAAACTGTCATATGTTTTTTTAAAAAAGAATTACAATTCATATGAAATTGCATAGGTGGATAGCCAGTAATCTTTCCCAAGATTTAGAGACTGTGGCAAAGCTGTTTGACACAAATACTCTTTCCAATTTGCTAAAATTCATTTTCAAATTATATCTAAAAAAAATCTGGTGCTGTGCAGGATTATCATCACATTGTGTCAGATTAGTAAAATTACTGAAGAACGTAATTGATGTTCCAGTGATTTGTGGAGGGCTCAAGATATCCAGTTTGCTGTAAATAGCAATGTGTAGGTTACCTGTGCCACGATACTAGTTGGGACATGTACGTGAGCCTGACTCATGTTTCAATAATGTAAATTTCCTTTCTTTTCCCACACTCACAAAAACAATTGTGCTAATGTGACTATAAAGGAGCAGTTTGCCTCAGGCGTGATTTGTTAGCAGTCGGATAGCTAAAATTGCAATTACATTGCTGACAATCTGTCAAATTAAGCTGTGTTTGTAAAATATAACTTGCGCCTGGTTTGAATTGAGAGAGGTGGAGTGGGAATCCTGCTATTCTTAGACTGTCATTTTTTGATGTGTGTGGAGCGAAAGCGGTTTTGTGTGCTTTTTCCTCTTCTCCTGTTTACCCCTTGTTCCCCCTCACCCCACCCCTACACTATTGTTGGCTTTCACTTGAAATCTAATGCCATTTTCCAGGCATTTATTTAACGAATTAAGACAAAGGGTTCACTGTTGTATTTATGCTTTTTCACCAATGACATTTCTTATTCTGAGGCTGCTGAGATCTGAGTGGGACAAAACTGGGGAATATTTGTACAATACTCTAGCTTAATTTGTTTTAACAGGCGATTGAGATCACAGCAACAAATTGCATTTATAGAACACCTTTCATGTTGGGAGGATGTCCCAAGGTGCTGGACAGTCAAGGGTTTGCACCCAAGCTGGGGGTTGGATTCAAGAGAGGTGGGGGTAGAAAAATGACTGAAAGCACAATCAAAGAGGAAGGTCTTGAGACGGACCTTGAAGGAGATGAGGGAAGGGGCGAGGCGAAGGGCTCAGCCTGGCTCATTTGGTAACACTCACCTCTTGAATCAGAAGGTTGTGGGTTCAACCCTCCATGTTATGGTTTTGAGTTTATAGTTTATAAGATGACATTCCAATACAGTGTTAGGAGAGCGCTGCACTGTTGGATGTGCTATTTTTCAGATGGGACATTAAACCGAGGCCCCACCTGCTTGTTAGGGTGGACGTTAAAGATACCACAGCACTATTCAAAGCAAGAAGGGAGTTTCCACAAGTGTCCTGGCCAGCAATCCCCCAGATAAAATTGGTCATTCACTTCACTCTTTGTTGGACATTACTATGTACAAATTGACAGCAAGCCTTGGCTCTTGCCAAACTGCGCCTAATACGTTCTGTGATTAGGTAAGCAGGATACGTCCCTCCAGGGAGAGAGTGCACATTCCAATCCAACAATCTATCTCTGGGATGTCCATGTATAAGTGGGATGCATGGAAATCTCAGCTTGGTTTGGATACTCTTTAGCATTGTGATGGGTTTCTGCATGTGTCGACAACAACAACTTGCATTTATATAGTGCCCTTCAGGCCGGACTCATCTCGGTGTCAGACGCCCAACTGACAAAAAAAAATTGACATCTCCATTTGCTTACAAATGTCAGTATAATCACAGTTAATCTTGTGAAGCTTTGTGACATTGCATTGATGTGATAAGGTGATACAGTATATCAATTACAAGGATTATTATCATTTTAATGAAGACATGTTGTACCAATGTGTGAATTTCCTTTTTACACTGGTTAAACAAATCATGTATAAATTGTTATTGGGTACTGCAGAGCAACCTCATATTTCTTAAATATCATTTCAGCCAGTAACCAGTTTATTATCTGTTAACAGGAGAGCATGCATGCATATGCAGCCAATGTTTACACAACTGTTGTGGAAGAACTGATAAAAGGGAAACAACGCAAGTTTATTGCAGTCGAGCAAGAGTTCTTTCGGCTGTGGTGGAATGATGTGGCCACCAGCACACAGAAAAAACAGGTACCAGCAATCATCCGTGACCATGGTGCTGTCTTGTCTTCCAGGCATCATTCAATTGGGTTGTAAAGAGTATCTCTTTAGCAACGGAAGCTGATTCTCAGCTGTATCAGTCAGTAAACGTATTACAAAAGAGATTTGGATCAAGAAGGCCCTGCAGCCAATTTGATTTCATCTTTCCAGCAAACCAATTCTAGCATCCTACCATTTACAGCATCAAGCTACTTCTTAAATTAATCCAATGGCCTTAACCATACTTTATCTTAAATGAAACCCAGCTTAATTACAAATGGGGTGGTGTAGGGGTTGTGCGCTTGCGAGCCAAATACTGGGGCACTCGGGAAATGCCCCTATTTCCCATTTTGCCAGTGGGCCGCTGACCCTATGTAAAGAAATACTTCCTGGTGTCTGCCCCCAAATTGTTGTGAACCTGTGACCTTTGCCTTTCTGCCATGGTCATGTATCAAATTATTGTACTGAGTTGACCCAAGTGTCACAGCTTGTCAGGAGACGTGGTACAGTATTACCGGTTTTCAAACTTCAGAGGCAGGAAATTTTCTGCTACATCAACACAGCAGAAAAAACTAATATTAATAAAGTACTTCACATTACACAGAATATACCCCAGCGTTTTTTGAAGTCAATAACAAGTCTCCTGAGTTGAGGTGATGTAAATACACTGCTTAAGCTTTGCTGTTGTATTTTATATTGCTATCTCAAGACACTTTGTAACCTGCCAAAGACTCACTGTTATACAGTACAAAATTACAATTGTATAGCGCCTTTCATGTCCTTTAGTAAGAACAGACAATAGCAATGGTCACTCTTTAGAGTTGGGCTTTCTCTTTTGGAGAATTCTGCTCAATGTGAAGAACGTCAATGGTGGGGAACAGAACACTGCCTGAGTTTAGTACCCAGGGCTAGCCTCAAGCATTGCCTGATTTTCTTTGGTCCACCAGGTGACATCACCACCGTTAAGACTATCCAAACCAGATTGAGAGTTCCATAGATATACGCTCTAATGAGTAAGATGATCCTAGTTAGACAAACAGCTGGAAAGCTTGCCAGACAACAATTTCAATGGCAAGCTATGCAGTTTTAGCTGGTTAGACTCCAGCAGTACCCCACAGTACACTCTGGTGTCCCCAAGGCTTGGCTCTTGCCGACCTGCGCCTAATACTGTCTGGAATTAAGTAAGCAGGATATGTCCCTCTGGGGAGAAAGTGCGCATTTCATTCCAACAATCTATCTCTGGGATTTCCATGTGTTTGTGGGATGCATGGAACTCTCAACTTGGTCTGGATACACTTAAGCATGGTGATGGGTTTCCGCGTGTGTCACAGTGTTGACCCCCCAAAATAATCACCTAAGCCAGCTGAACTCATACAAGGTGAATGTGGACCACTGCATCTGCGTTGTTATCAAATTCACGCTATAAAGATAAAAATAAATATATAATAATAATCCCTGCATTGATGCAGCACCCTATCACATCTTCGAGACATCTCAAAGTGCTTCACAGAATATACTGTAAAGTGAATTGACTGTACACATTGAATGGGGCATATACACTGTTGGTCAACATTGCTGTCAGGCTTCTAATCCGTATCCAAGTTGAACTAAATGCGCAACAAGTACCCTTAACTCTAAATAATACAGAAATGATAATAGAAAATAAGAGGGTGAATCAATTTGACTCAGACGCAGCAGAAGGCAACAGTGGCTACCAATATCTTTGAAACGCTTCTGCACGTACCAGAAGGTGAGAATGAGAGAGAAAGTCTTGTCCTTCTATAATGTATCAATTCTTGCGTAGGGCAGTAAATGGTTTGTAAATGTGAATGTGCTTCGTCATTGCCCGAAGTGTCCCCGTCTCATGAGTGACGTTGGGTGTTAATCACAGGTGTACCAGCTGCTGGCAGAGGGACGCTTGGAGTTTGTCCTTGGAGGTCAAGTGATGCACGACGAAGCAGTAACGGAACTCAGTTCCCAGATTTTGCAGCTCACAGGTAGTACACCCCCCACCCTCTCCAGATCTCTGCAGAGGACATTTTATACATTAATGCAACTGATGCAATTTTGCTGTGATTTCTCCTGTGCAAAGATCATTCGGTATGTTCTGTGGTCTGTCATGGGGCGGGGAGAATGTTTAATTAAATTAATTTACTCCCAAACCTGTTCAGGGTAAATGGCAGGTTTAGATTGTAATTTTCTTTGATGTGATGATCATATTGAATGTTGCATTTTACCCTTTTATTATCGTATGGTTGTTGAGGTCTTGGGCCAAGCAAAGTCTCCTATCCATGATCATTACCACATAGGTTTCAGCCTGGCTCAGTTGGTAGCACTCCTGCCTCGGGCTCAGTCAACATGTTGAGACTTTGAGCTCACAGTTCAGGCAGACACTCCAGTGCAGTGCCGAGGGAAGCACTGCATTGTTGTAGGTGCTGGACTTCAACATGACATTAAACTGAGGTATGTGCTCATTCAGGGAGATGTTAAAGATCCCACTGCATTTCCTGAAAATAGAAGGGTTACTCTCGTAACTCTCCTAGTTGATAATCCTCAAAGTAAAATTGATTGTTCACTTTGTGACTGTTTGCTGTATGCATTCGCCTACACAATATACAGTCGTTACACTTTACAGTAAATCCTGTGAAGCTTTTTGAGACGTCCTCCCGATGCGCGACGTGCCATATCAAATGCAAGAATCATTATTATAACACAAGCATTTAAAAGGCATCTCCGTATATCTTTCTTGTGTCTTTGCAGAGGGACATGGCTTTCTGTATGAAACATTTGGAGTGAGACCTCAGTTTTCTTGGCACGTTGATCCTTTTGGAGCTTCAGCAACAACCCCCACAGTGTTTTCTCTGGCAGGCTTCAATGCTCACCTTATTTCCCGCATCGACTACGATCAGAAGAATATGATGCAGAAAGGCAAGGTAAAACCAAGGAGGAGGGAACACAGAGTAAAAACATGGGGCCAGAGCAGTGGAACACATAGTCAATTCTTTCCTCTGTTCCCCCCCCGTTCCCCATTCGTATTGTTTCTGATCTTAGCTCTGTTAAAAGATGGAGATTGGGGTGGGGTGGATGCCTCCCATCCAGCATAGAGAATGTTGGAGGGATAGTTGCTCTAGGACGCCCTGTGATGAGCTTTGCATTTTCTCTGCATTTCTCCCCTTGTAGAAGCTGCAGTTTGTGTGGCGAGGATCTTCCTCCTTGGCACAGGGTCAAGAAATCTTCACTCACACCATGGACCAATACAGTTACTGTGTTCCCTCTTACCTTCCCTTCTCGAACAGGTAACAATATATTATTATATACAGTATTTTTCAAAAATAAAACCTGGATTGTTAAGCATCGGGCTTGGTGTCTACTTCAACATTGTACAGGGCAACCCTGTTACAACATGATTGTCTGAATCCTGTTTCTCAACAACAACAATAAATTACATTTGTATAGTGCCTTTCGTGTCAGGAGTTCATCCCAACTCCGTGTTGTCAGTGAAGTGGGAGAAATAGCCCGTATCCAGGTAGTAAGCGCTTTGGGACGTGCTCCTGACGTGAAAGGCACTCCATAAATTTAATTTTGTTGTTGTTGTTCTAAGTTTTGCTGATGACGTCACTCCCACGAGTTCAGCGTAAGAAATACTGCTGATCTCACTTACCTGGTGACATGACATCAGCTGCATTTCCTGTACGCAGTGTGCTTTTTAAAACTTTTACCACCTGTGATTTTAGCTCAGTCCACCAGTTGAGACTTTTCAGTTTAGGTGATTGAATCTCCCTTTATGTCATATCTCCAATTCTCACTAAAACATTTTTTTTTCACAGATCATAAAGTGGGTTTCAGGAATATTTCACCTTCTGTTTCAACACTATTTAGATCTGGCTTTTTTTGGAATGGCGTTGCTGTTTTTCCTGATCCACCAAAAGATGGGATTTACCCAAACATGAGTCTCCCCGTCACCAATGAGACCATTCATCTTTACGCAGAGACCATGGTATCGAACATCAAAGAAAGAGCAGCATGGTTCAGATCTAATCCTGTCCTGTGGCCATGGGTAAGAGTTGTAACGTATAACAAAGCAGATTTTTAGCTATTCAAAATGTTTACTAATCCCTTAGAGCATGTACATTTAAAAAAAAACACACTTGTGTGTCAGCCTGGTCCATTCGGTGGTACTCTTGTCTCTGAGTCAGAAGATTCTGAGTTCAAGCCCCACGTCAGGACTTTGAGCTTGTACAGACTAGGCTGAAACTCCAATGCAGTGTTTTTCCATCCTTTGGATCAGATGTTAAACTGAGATCCCGTCTTCCTGTTTAGGTGGCCGTTAACAATCCCATGGCACATTTTGAAACAGAAGGGAATTTCTCCTGGTGTCCAGGCCAACAATCCTCCAAATAAAATTGGTCACTCACTTTATGGATGTTGGTGGGACCAAATATACAAAAGCCTACAAAATATACAGTCACTAAAATTTACAGTTGATATTGTGAAGCGCTCTAAGATGTCCTCCTCATGTGAAAGCAACTATATCAAATGCAAGTATTAGTATTTATTATAAAACACAATGTTGCTGCTTGGTAGATATCTCATATTGCTGGCCAAAAAAGTTTCCTGAAACATCGTTGAACAAATTGTTTGAAATAAACTGTACGGTCATGCAGCAATAGTTTTGTTTATGTATTAAAACCAATATGTAACTATCTTCAAGCCTTAATATGTGTGAAAAATATTTTTTTAATGTTTGTGTGGGGGGGGAAGCTAAATTGTACCTTGTTTGTCAAGCTTGTTAATGTGAGCGGTATCTATCAGTTTCTGTGTAAACCATTCCTTTTTGTTTTCATCGCTATTGCAGGGCTGTGACAAGCAGTTCTTCAATGCCTCTGTGCAGTTTGAAAATATGGATCCGTTGATGGAATACATCAATCAGCACTCCGATGAATTTGGAGTTACTGTGCATTATGCTACACTGAGTGAATATTTTCAGGCTCTTCACAAGACAAACCTGACTTGGGATGTCCGAAACAACCAGGACTTCCTCCCATACTCCTCAGGTAATGATTTTGAAAGCAAAATGTAAATTGAACAATTAGCCCTGAAACCCACCTTATTAATGCAAAGGTACATTAAGAACTAGAACAAGTACTTTTTGTCTTTTGGTGAAGAGTGAAATGTTTCCAGAATGTGATTCTGTGGTGTGAATCCGACAGTGCTGAGCCTCAGGGCTCCTGCAGAGGGAGCCAATGCCTGCTTTGTGTGTCAGTAATTTATAACAGCATTTTTGGAAAAAAGCTCTTGAGAGGTTCAGATGGGGAGAAGGTCAATATAGCCTATTTTATAAAAATATTTTTTAAAAAAAAACAGCCATAGCCATTGTATTGGGTGGGGGGGAAAGTGCGACAGGTTTTTATTATCCATCTGAACAACTGATTTCCTTATTGAAGAAGATATTGCAGTACAGAGTATTAATTCAGCATTTTGATACCTATTCCTTGAGAGAATTTAGTCTGGAATTTTTTTAAAGACAAAATTCCACTTCTGCTTTTCTATCGGGTACAAGATCCTGAAGCGCTTGACCATTCTGACTGGACACAGGAGCTGGGGGTGGGAGCTGAGGAGGAGGAGAAAGATGACTGAAAATGGGGGTCCAAGAGGTACATTTTGAAGAGAACCTTGAAAGAGGGAAAGAGAAAGTCGGAGGACGTGGGAATTAAATCCTACAGAGTACGCTCTGAGTGGCTGAAAGCCTGCCCGCCGATGGTGGTGCAGATAGAAGAAGGGACCTGGTGTAGCTTAATAACTTGTGAGATAACTCGAGAAGCTGAACGAATGATCACGCTTGGCTGGAGGTGAATGAAGCGTCACTGACTGCATCGCAGCTGATGTCATTTTGTTTTTCTTGCACTGTTGGGCTCAGTGACTCTCTGATGAGTTCTCCCAATGGGGTCGTGAGGACTTGCTGTTCAAGTAAATATCAAAGAAAATCGAGTGGCAAAAAGGAAAAGGCGTCTTAAAGCTTAAGATAATAATTCGGCAGTGATGTTCACTTGTTAAGTGTTGAGGCTGGTTTTGCCCTAATTGATTTCAGAGTACAGCAATTGCAAACCTGGATGCACAGCCCACTGCACTCAGAATTATTCATACTACAAGCTAAGGTATGAGAACGCATCTTTTGTGACTTCATTTAATTCGCAGTTTCCATGGTCAGATGATCAGGGGTACATATTACATACCAGTGGCAATTAAATGGTTGCCTTAGCAACCTAGTCTTTTTCCCATTTTAAGCAGTACGATTTTTTTTATTCTCCCATGTTCAATATGAAGCTGTCTGGCACAGGCTCCCATCGTGCCTGCTGTTAAGAAAGAGAGGAAGAAAATAGCAGATCTCTTCCTTAGCAGTCGTGAAATTCACTGATATTGCTAGGAATTGGTTTCGTTCTTGGTCGGGCGCTGTACCTAGGAGTGGTAAGAATGCAAGTTTCTATTCTTGTCTCTTATTGTTTAAGAGGTCAGACCAGGTGGTCAAGTTTTAGTGACAACAGAAGGAAAAGAGAGCATTAACTATTAGACACCCTCACTCATCTGCATCTTCAAGGAACATTGGTATCTGGCTGGGAGGAGTTGCTGTCTGTCTTGTTGCCTGGACTACGGTTTAACAAGTTGTACAAATAAATGAAGCGAATAAAGTCTGGCCAAGTCTCTGGAATGTTGAAATGCTATCTGTGAAGCATAAGAAAAGCCAGAGCATATGGAACTGCTCTCTTCTATGGGTCTCTGATTTTCCTTGGTAACCGGTGTTTGAGCTGTTTAAACGCTATTTGCTTTAATTCTGTGAGCAGGGAAGCATGTTTGCCATTAAAAGATAAATTATGTGCCGTACTGAAGTTCAATTTGGTTTTCCAAGTTCTAAATGATTAAAGAATAAAACAGACTTAAAGTGGTATTCAATTCACCACTGCTACCTTGGCATTCAAAGAATTCTCATCAAGAGTGTCTGCAAGGCTTTTTAAAAAAAACTACGGGCTTAATAAACCTGCCAACCCAGTCTGCACACGTACACAAACACACACACACAATATTTCCTTTCCTCTCCTGATTGTGCTGGTTCACGCTGGGCTACAGCTCAGGAAACACAAGCTGCTCTTTGGGCAGGTGGCCATTCTTGCTATAGAAGCCTGGACAGAAAGACTTTGCCAGATTATGCAGCTCTGGGGGCTACCATAGCAGAGCTTCATTTTATCTAACATCCATGCATGAATACTTCAGAGCTAGGGTCACTGGATTGGATCAGAAGTGTGCACACAGCAGATTTTTTTTTATATGCCACCCTTCTCTGCCTTGGCATCAGTTGCGGCTTTACAATCTGCTGATGCTGACTATAACACCACAGCTACTGCCTGGCTGAGATCAACTCACTCGGTGCAGACTGGGGATGTAAATTGTTTGTGTGTCAGCCTGGCGTAGTGATAGCAATCTCACCACCAATCAGAAGGCTGTCGGTTCAAACCCCACGTCAAGAAGTGGAATCACATAGTCTAAGCTGACACTCCATCGAGTGCTGTGGGGCCGAGAGGGGTGGATGGTTAGAGGTGCCGTTCTTCGGATGAGACGTATACCCAAGGTCCCATCTACTTGTTCAAGTCGATTTTCAAGATCTCACGGCACTATTCGAAAGCGAATTTCTCCCCAACAGTCCGCCCAAATAAAAATTGGTCACTCACTCCATGGCTGCTTGTGGGACACTACTGTGCGCAACCAGCTGCCGCGATTTGCCCACAACATACATAGACAATCCACTTTACAGTACATCTCGTGAAGCTTTTTGAAATGTCTCAATGATGTGATAATGTGCTATAAAATGTGAGGATTACTATTATATACAGCCTTTATTCACTAACCCCAGGTAACAGCTGTGATTGGGTCCTCTCTGCTTGGCTCTGTTTGGTGGCTGTCAATGGAGGCTTGACAGCTCTTACAGTGTAATTCACTGCTGTATTTATAAATGTTAACTGTGGGGAACTTTTATCTTTATGTTTTTGGAATAACCAAATGTGAGAGAACTTAATAAAAGAGACTCGATTGTAATATGAAGAGCTTTTGATTTTATATTCAAAATTTGTCTTACTGTAGAACCATTTGAAGCCTGGACTGGATTTTATGCTTCTCGGAATATACTTAAAGGAGTGGCTCGGAGAGCAAATGCCTTCCTTTATGCCTGTGATTCCCTTTTTACACAGTATCTGCTGAAATATCCGTCAGGGTCTGTAGATAAACTTTGGGCACTGCAGCAAATTCAGAACCTGCGATGGGCTGTATCAGAGGTGAGGATCTTATACCTACAAATCAGTGAAGTACGCATAGTCCTGCATAAAGAAAGTAGTGGTACCAAACCGTATTCAAATACTCTTGAGATTGGTCAGAGAATTATAGCTAGGGCTTCTGATTTTCAGTTTTAACCAGAACCCCCAATAAAACACTCCCAATATAAAAAAACCATGGTGTTTATCCAATAAATACCACAAAACCCTGTAAATGGTTTCTGGTCCTGATGCACACCATATGAAGATGCCTCTCTCCCCTCCGTGTGCACAGGTGCGTCTGAATCTTCCATTAAAAGTAAGTGGAAAAGCCCTGATTTTTAGAACTCAAAAAATGCTAAAATAAAATAAATATTGTTTTAAACCCTGAAAAACAGAAGACCTAATTGTAGCAAACTGTCTTTCTGCTGTTGCCTTCATATTTTGCAGTCCGATATGAAACTAATCTCTGCAGATGACCAAAAGAAAACATTGGAGGCAAAGATAACAACCAATGTCAATCATGTCATAATCCTTATTACATTTAGGTGCAGCCTGGCTCAGTTAGTAGCACTTTCGCATTTGAGTCAGAAGTTTGTGGACTCAAGCCCCTTGTCAGTACTTTGAACTCGTACAATAAAATAATAATAATCCTTGCATTTCATACAGTGCCTTTCACGTTCGAAGGAAGTCTCAAAGATCTTCACAGGATTTATTATGAAAATTTGAAACTCAGTCCAGATTTTGAGCTCAAAGTCCTGTTGTGGGGATTGAACCTATAAGCTTCTGATTCGGAGGCTGAATGAGCCAGGTTGACATACTGTATCACGTGTTATACGAACAAATTGATGCTTGGCTCATACATGACTGTTAGAACAACAATCAAATTGTAACTGAGAACGAGAAGATTAGCCAGTATGGGAAATCTATGAGCCACATGAGTTTTATCCGAATCATATTGCACATTATGTATTCATGTGGTTTATTCTCATTGTGAAATATCAACACTTTTGTATTAGGTACAACATCATGATGGAATAACAGGGACCGAGTCACCCAAAGTGAGAGACATGTATATGGATCATCTTTTACGAGGAAGCTGGGCTGTAAAGAAAGTGATGGCTGCCATATTTGAAGAAACTCTGGCTGCTGCAGTGAAGAAGTCTACTCCTCGTCCCGATAGGCAAGTCACTAGCCTAAAAGGTGAAGGATAGCACTTTTCTTAACCGTGTCTATTAATATATAATTTGTTGTAAAATTTGCCACTCCGATACAGTGTTGGGAGGGTGCTGCATTGTTAAAGGTGTCGTCCTTCAGTCCTATCTGCTATTCAGGTGGACGTTAAAATCCCATGGCACTATTCAAAAAGAGAATGGAGTTTCTCCCGGTATCCTGACCAACAATCTCCCCCAAATAAAATTGGTCATTGAGTTTATTACCGCTATGGGACATTGCTGCGTGCAAATTGGCTGTCATGTTTACCTACAAAATACACAGTCACTGTGTTGGAGCTGAACTGGCACCAAAGTGACATGTTTAGTAAAGGAATGCCAGATTCAAGCCCTCCCTCTGTGGTGGTTTTGTTTGTCTGGTTCCTGAGCCAGGCGGGTAAACAGTATTCCAGGGAACTGCTGACGACAACTCAGCCATTATGGGTCACAGGTAGGACTAGGAAGGGCAGACCAGACCCTGGGGACAGGGAATCCTCCTACTCAGCTCCTGTTAATCCTGCAAGCCAAAGCCCTAACAGGTACTGTGTTCTTAGCTGGACAAACTGTGGGAAAGTTTGCCAGATAGTGCAAACTAGACAGTTTTAGCTGGTTTGGACTCCAGTAATACCCCAACTCACACTCTGGGGCCCCCAAGCCTTGGCGCATGGGTGAATTTTTGAGCTTTGGATCCCTGTAGGTTTCTCTTAAGTGTTATTTCTGGTAATTTTAGTATATTTATGTTGCGTGTGTTCATAGCGGTTTAAAATGCATGAACTGTGCGAGTAGCAGCTTCTGATTTGAGACTGAAATTGCAGGATTTACTGCAAAAGAAAATTTTCGATCCTGAAAATTGGCAAATATTATCAAGTATAATCGTGACATCCACCTAGTGATCGCAGCTGACGGTTTGCTTTTGGTCAAATAACGATCAGGAAGCAAAACCATCTTTACAGCATTGCTTTTATTAATCTTCTTCTCCCATGATTCTTTTTAAGCAAACTCTGTGCTGGATCCTGCAGCATGTCTGTCACAAACCAGGAGTTATTAGTGCAGTGTCTTCTAGCTTTCAAATGTGTCATTTCAGTTCCAATCGGAAGATTATCTACATGTTTGCACTTGTCTCTAATGTCAAACTAAAACTTTTTTCCTCTTATAAAAGAGGGAGACCTTTTGCAGATCACAGTGTACAACCCTCTAGGATGGAACATCACGACTTTTGTTAATCTGTCCATTGCATACTCAGTCGTCAGTGTGTATGACGACGCTGGAAATACTGTACCATCGCAGGTATTTGTAATAATTGAGGCTTTAGTAGTCTGTATGGAAGCGGAAGGACATTCATGGTGGGTAGTTAGAAAGCTTTTAGAAAGCTTTTATACTGTAAAGTGTTCTTAAATCTTTAAATCAACACGGGTAATTCTTATGATTTGGGGAAGTGCTTCTGTATAGAACCAAGACAGACAATTGAGGTCCATCTGGCTGTAGACTTCACGTAGTGCAAAGAAAATGTCTTGTTTCGGTTCTTACAAAACAATGTATGTTTCCCCCACAGCATATATACAATCAATTCACTTTACAGTATATTCTGTGAAGCACCTTGAAGCGTCTCGAAGACGTGATAAGGCGCTATATCAAATGCAAGAATTATTATTTATTATGAAGTGCAATTTGAAAAGGTTGGAAGCCAGCATCGAGGAGCTTTATAACCATGATTGTGTTAGAAATTCAATCTTAACCAGAAATAAACTGAAGATGGGAAATTCATTTCATGAAATATATATTCATGATCTGGTCCCCACAAGATTGCCGGGATCTGCGCTCCCAATGTGACAAGCGCTATATAAATGCAATTTGTTGTTGTTGAAAGCATTTTGGTTTCTATGTGATGATGAATGATTGAGCAAATTCCTCTGTTCTTTTAATGTTGGTTTAATGCTAAATGCACACAGTGAACTAACATGAAATAACTTATTTTCTGCTTCAGATCCAGAAATCCTCAGAGTCTAACAATACCTTTGATCTGTACATCCTGGTGACCCTAAATGCACTTGACTACCGTAGGTATCTGGTAAAGCCTGAAAAATCCAGCTCTATCAAGCAATCAGATATTCACTACTCTAAAAAACAGAAGGCCTACAGAGGAAAAGTGGTTGCATTTGACAGAAAGATGATGAACACGTCCAAAAAGACAGGACATAGACTACTTCCAGTGATGAATGAGTGCTATTTACTGAAGCTAGACCAGGACACAAACTTACTGTACAGCATCACTGACAGGTAAGAAGTGGTGTCCATGTCTCTGGTAAAACCAACTCAGCTGCTCAGAATTGCTTAAATTTATAAAAAGGCAGAAATATTAAATGTAAGCGTTCATTTTTGAGGATTTAGAAAATTGGATAATAATAATAATAATCCCTGTATTTGGGACATCTCAAAGTGCTTCACAGAATATTTTAAAGTGAATTGACTGTATATTTTGTGGATGAAACGCGGCAGACAATTGCGTACAGTAATGACCATTCTCTGTTGTAAATGGCAGAACTTCGCAGAAGATTGTTAAAATAACACAGAAGTTCTTAGAGTATCGAGCGAATGGAAATATCAAACAAGGTCCAATCTCGGATAATTATATATTTACACCCAATGGCTCAGCGGTGCCTGTATCCAAGTCCGTCAGCATGGAAATTGTTTTCGGAAAACTGGTAACCGAAATCAGACAGTACTTTTACAGGTAAGTGCCCCAAAAGTGAGAAATTGTTGAATTTATAATTTGCCACCTGTCTCTTGCGCTTGAATTCTCCAGTAAGATGGCGATGGAACTAGATGGCAAACCAACATCAGTCGAGTGGTATTTGATTGGCTTTATTCTCCGTGATGTTCGCTGTCAGCACTGCACTAACACCCTGTGCCTTGAGGAATCAATTACAGGTTCCCCGACAAAATTTACCTCAGCCAAGTTAGGCATTCACTGGACTGACTTAATCGCACTCTTGCCCCTGGTTTTGTGGACTGAAGCCCTATGTTGAAACAGGAGCTTGTAGTTTTGACTGGCTCTTTTATTACAGATCAGGGCAGTATCGGTTTATCAGAGGTGTTATCTTTCGGATCAGATATTAAACTGAGGTCCCCCTGCCTCTTCAGATGGCTGCTAAAGATTCTTCAATTCAAGAAGGAAGTTTCTCCTAATATAACAATAAAAATAATAATTATTGGGATACTCTCACCAACAGTATCTCAATGCAGACTCTGGGGTCCCCAAGCCTTGGCTCTCGCCAAACTACACCTAATGCTCTCTGGAGTTAGGCAACCAATGTGTGCCCCTCCAGGGAGAAAGTGTGCATTCCATCTAGATGCAGGGAAATTTCCATGTGTAGGTGAGTTACCTACGTGTAGTTCTGTTGAATGCGGATACTGTTAAGCTTGGCGATGGGCTTCTGCATGTGTCAAACACCCGATTGACCACAACGAATCTCAGCCAAGGCAACTGTTGGAGCACTCACTACGGGGTTGGATTCAAAGCTAATGGAAGAGAAAATCAGCCCAGGATTCACATATCAGATCTCCATTCAATACTGCCTGATTAAAAGTGTTTAACGTGTTGCTGTCTGTGGATTGGATCAGACACAGATGTAATGTTTTTCTGGTGGAATTGCCTGAAGACATTGACAATCCAGTCTCATTCATGGAGATTGTCCAAATGTTTCAGAAAACAAGCTGAAAACGCTATTCAATAATAAGTGGTTTTAGTTCCACCTCACAATCTGTTTTGAATATTTAATGATTTTGCATGTTTCTCTCTTAAACAGCAATATTTCAGCTGCTGCAAACGAGTACCAACATGTGATATTCACAAGGATCTACAAAGTGCCTGCCGGCTACGAGGGAGCACTGCTCTGCAACAGAATTGAGCAGGAATACAGAGTTGGGCCACTGGAGATGAACAGGGAGGCAATCATACGGACAAATACGGATTTGAAAACTGATCGCACCATTTATACTGACAATAACGGTTATCAAATCATGAAGAGACAGTATAGAACCTACTCACAAAACACTCTGGCTCGGGTAAGTAAAGTGTGCCATGTGGCAGCTGTATGATGGGAGAGAGAGGAGATTCAAGGGGGAAGAGTCTGAATTAGTTCACTGGTAGGTCTCTTTCACTAATGGGGTGAAGTTAACCGTGATGATGAATGACATTATTTCTTCATCCCATCTAATGGGATGAGATGGGATGAAGAAATAGGAAGCATGGTTAGATCAAACAAATGTTTGTTTCATTATATTTTCCTCCCAGTTGCTTTTTCTCCCTTTATTTCCTCCCCCCACTCCACATGTCAATTTCTTTAATTATTTTAAATACATCAAATCAAATCACACCTTAACTTGCACTCTTCTAAAGAATATAACCACAGCCCCACAACAGTCCAGGTCTTTAATCTAGTGTTGCTGTTGTTGGAAACTCTCCAAGATTTGTGTATCTTTACTTAAAATTTAGTGCCTAAAACTAAAAACAAAACTTCAAATGAAGTCTTACTAGTGCTCAATATAATTGGAGCAGCAACTCATTTTTATATACCAGACCTCTTGTTATAAAGGTGTGTATATATGTTTATATATATATATATAAATGGTTATATAGAGGTCGGTGTACTCTTCTATACCAATTGTTTGCCTTCTATCTTCTATCCATGAAAATGTTGCGCTCAACACATTTCCTCTTGAAGGGGAATCCAGAACAAGGGGGCATAATCTAAAAATTAGAGCTAGGCCATTTAGAAGTGAAATTAGGAGGCAGGTTTTCAACCAAAGGGTAGTGGAAACCTGGAACTCTCCCCCAAAAGGCTGTGGATGCTGGATCCATTCACATCTTCAAGATTGAGGTGGATAGATATTTGTTAGATCAGGCTATTAAGGGTGGGTAACTGGACTTGAGATACAGATCAGTCATGATCTTATAGAATGGCAGAAGAGGCTCGATGGGATCCATGGCCTCTACTGTTTATATGTTCTATGTGCCTTAATTTTAGTTGTTAATCTTTTGTGTGGAACTTTGATCAATTCCTAAGAATTTTTAGAAATTACATTTGTCGATTTTCCCCGTCCCCCATCTCTGTTATCATCACTTTCCTGTTTCACTTTGCCATTTTCAATCCAACGAGCTAAGTTACCATTAATTCCATTAATTGCAACGACTTAGAAGTCTCACATTTGCAACTTGATCAATTGCCTTCTGGAAATCTCAAGTGAATTTTGTGCGCTGCATAGCTTTCAATCACTGATTTAGTAATTACCTCAAAAAATGAAGAAGAAACAACAACTTGCACTTATACACCGCTCTCCATGCAGGATAGCGACTCAGAGCGTTTAAAGTGGCGGAGCCTGACTCTGAGCCGGTGGGGTGATGGGGGGAAGGTGGACGATTAAATGAAACTGGTTGCAAGCAAAGCTGCAACAGGTATTATTTTCGGGGATCTCCCTTCGTTGATGAGTTATATTTAAAAAATGCTTTAATTAAGCCCCAAAATATGAGGTATGTATGAAATTCTGCGACAAAGTAGCAACAGAGGAAATCACACCACCCTTCTAGAGAGTTACATCTATACTAATATATTGTGCAACAAAGTAACGCAGAGAAAAGCTATGACCTACAAGCTCATCACACATGTATGCACTCGAACCAGGAGCTCTGCCTACCAGGAGCCCTCCCAGCTGAATATAGATAAAGACGGTGTGTCTGTCTGTGTGTTAATCTACATTCCATATCGGATCCTCTGGTTGCAAGCGAAGCTGCAACGGGTACAGCTGGTTTATACAATAAAACAAAACACCGAATCGTTCTGTTAGCATCCGTGTCAGGACAAAACTTAACCTCTCAAACTTCTCCACTTATGTTTTTCAGAACTACTACCCTCTTGTGAGGACCACTTACATCGAGGACAATGGCACAAGGCTGGTTATGTTGTCTGAACGAGCTCATGGCATTTCCAGCCAGGCTGATGGGCAGGTGGAGGTTAGAAACATTGTCAGTTTAAAATGAGTCAGTAAAGTCTAGCTCATCAAAATAAAGAGGAAGTCTTGCCACCAAATTAACAAGAATTCAGATTGTATCAACCTGTGATTTTTATCTTGTGCTTGGCATGACACCGCTAACCTCTGGAACTCTCATCTCCATTTGTCTTTAAGTCGAACCTTAAAGCTACCTTTTCAACCATATTTCTTATAAACACCCCCTTCTCTTCCACCTTACTTGCTCGGTGCCACTGCAAAAACACCCTAAGATGCTATCCGGTTAAAATTGACCATTCACTTCATGGTTCTTTGTGGAACTTTGTGCAAATTGGCTGCCTTGTTCCTCTACCAAAAAATAGACACTGCATCCTGTGAAATGTTTTGGGATGTCCTCCTGACATGAAAGGTGCTATTTCAAATGTAAGGATTATTGTTATTATTAAGCACTTGCTCAAAATTTTAAAAGCAATAAATGACAAATGTTTCCGGTAGTTAGATTTGACTGACTTTCCCCTTACACCTAAACCCATAGACCATAAATTATTGACTTTTACGCACGTGTGGTTGCTTCGTTTAGACAGTTTGCCCTGGTGCTTTTGCAGGTGATGCTTCACCGAAGGTTGTGGAACAATAAAGATTGGAACCTGGGCTACAACCTGACTCTGAACGACACCTCTGTGGTGCGACCGCTTTTCTGGCTGATGTTGGGGTCAAAATCCGTCACTTCATCTCTTTATCAAAGTGGGATGGCCCTCGAGTTCAGACCTGTTGTTCTGTATGGTTCCGTCTCAGGTACATTATCTTGTTCTGTATGGCTCATGCAACCTGCTCCTTCAATAGCAATGCTGTTTATATTTTTTAAAAATTGAATTAACATGCTTTGAATTGGATAATTCTATTGATTGTTGTTCATAATGTGGTCTGCCCCACAGGAAAAGATGTAGTCATTCCATTACATAATCCAGGTGGAGGGACTATAGAAAATTCCATGTTTCTCCCATCTAACATTCACCTCCTGACCTTATGCGTGCCTGGATGGAGATACAGCTCAAACCACACTGACCACATACAGAGCATTGCTCAAGGTAAGAGGTGTTTCAATCTTAAACCTGTTGGATATTCTGCTTCAGAGCTAAGTTATATAAAACGGTTTCTCTTTCACAAGGTAAATATAAATCGTCTAACCCAAACTTCAGTCGGGTATTACTGAGACTGATGCATTTGTATGAAGTGGGAGAAGATGCGATTCTGTCTGAACCTGTGACCATAAACCTGAAGGTCAGTCATTTATTCTCTTGTTCAGTGACTTAGTAATAAACTTGCACAGTAATTCTAAATACTATCCTCCTGGGGGAGGTAAGCAAGGTGTCCTTAGAGTTGAACTGTTTCCAAGGTGACATGTTTGATGTGTCGGAATAGAGCCAGCCCTCTGTGGCAGTCTCAGTAGTCTGGTTCCTAAACCAGTCAGGTCCATAATATGACAGCACAGCCTGGCTCATTAGCTGGATTTCGAAGGGTAGACCAGTCACTGGGAACAGGGATTCCTCCCACTCAGCTCCTGCTAATCATGCATACCAAATCCCTAGTGGATAGTGTGTTCTAAGCTGGACAAGTAGCGGGAAAGCTTGCCAGGCAGTACTATGGATGGCAAGCTATGCAGGTTTAGCTGGCTAGACTCCTAATAGTACCCCAACACGCATTCTAAGGCCTGCAAGCCTTGGCTCTTGCCAACCTATGCCTAATATTTTCCAGAATTAGGTAAGCAGGACGCTTCCCTCCTGGGAAAGAGTACATTTTGTTCCAGTAAACATCTCTGGAATCTCCATATTTAGGTGGGATGGAACTCTGGTTTAGATACTCTTGAGCGTGGTGGTGGGTTTCCGCATGCGTCAGACAGCAGGCTAACTCCCCCAACAAAGTGTGTATGTTAAAATGCTCACTGATTAACCTTAATATAAAGTGTTGTAATGTTCAGTTTTGAATAAAGTCACAAATATCTATGCTGCACATCACTTCCCAAGCACTGCTGTGATATAGCAAAGATGTAGCTTTAACTTAACTGCTTTCTGGAAAATATGTGATACTAAAATTTATTTGTAGAATTCAATAATTCGATCAAATGGCTTAAAGAGCAAAAAGTATCCCCTGGTGTGTAACATTTTGTAGTTTTCCTTTATTGTTTTGTTCCAGAGTCAGTGGCAAGCTGCTGTTTAACTTGCAATTCTGCATTTTGCCCACAAAATACACAGTCAATCCACTTTACAATATTTTCTGTGAAGCGCTTTGAGATTTCTCAATGACGTGATAAGGCATAATGTCAAATGCAAGGAGTATTATTATAACCTTTATAAATCAAATTCACATAACTTTACAAGCGATTCATCGAGAGTAGATGGGTTGTGTGAGAGATGGTAGTGGTGTCTGCAGCCAAACACAAATCAGTGATGTTCCTTTTGGGAACTATTCACCCACAGATCAAAATAATAAATCCATCACCCAAATGAATAGATAGCAAAACAAAATAAATCGGTCCAGAGAACTGTGGGTAGTGCCTTTTTCTTCAACCCATAGTACGATATCTCCCCTTGTAATAATAATAATAATAATCCTTGCATTTGATAAAGCGCTTTTCACGTCGGAAGGATGTCCCAAAGCGCTTCACAGAACACACTGTAAAGTGAATTGACTGTATATTTGTGGGCGAACGCGGCAGCCAATTGCGCACAGCAATGTCCCACAAACAGTCGTAGATTGAAAATGACAAATTTTATTATTGTTTTTGGTTTTTGGAGGGATTATTATTAGGCTCTGTGTGGAGTAAGGAAACTTGCCCAAGGTTTCGCCCTCTGCCTGGAATTGAACTCAGGTCTCTCGCTTGCAAAGCGAGTGCTCTAACCACTGAGCTACAGGACTCCACAATCCTGTACATACTGGGCTGTGGTCAGTTCTCTGATAAATAGCTTGCAGCCTTCATGTACCTCAGTGTCCGTTTGCCTTTGCCATCTGAGGGGAAATGATGCAAAGAATCTAAAATGTGTAAAGGGGGGAAGTGTCTTTGGAAGAAATGATGTGTGCAGGAGAAGTCAAGTTGATTTTGTAAAGCTCAAAGCTGGAGGTTATTTCACAGCTTGCAGAGAATGAAACCATTGTTAAGAGAATCTCAAAGTCTGTTAAAATTCATTAGCATTTTAATTAGGGTGCTTCACTGTGATTCACCCTTCAATTATACAAGATCCGAATTCATGTTAAATCTGAACCTCTGTCAGAACTTACTCAAAGTGTTGGGGACAGTGGTGTCTGTTGAGGAACGCTCGCTCACAGGAACCTGGGACGTTAACACACTGGCACGTTGGAAATGGAAAACAGCAGAGCAACGAGACACAGGTGGGTCCCTTCAGTTTGCTATGTGGAACGTGAGTTCTGATGCACTCTTGTGATGAATGTGTAGTGCAGAGCAGCTACAACTAGAAGCTTGTGCACTTTACAAATACAAGTTGTTGTTGTTGCTTGTCTGCGGTGCCCTGAGCAGCCCGTGCAGTGAAATTTGCATACTTTCTACGGAAGGTGGATTCTATAAAGAGAGCTCTGCATATGTTGCAGCTGTTTCAAAGTTATGCTCAGTTCTCCAGCCTTTTCCCCAGTTGCTGGGACAGCTTCTACAAGCCAATGAACCGAACATCCGTGCCTTGACCCGCTCAGCCTTCTCCCACCTCCCCAACATTGGGGGTTGGCAAAGGCCCTATTCCTGTTACATCTTTGCAATATAAAAAACATCCTTACATTTGCTGTAGCCCTTTTCATTTCAGCAGGAAGCCTCAAAGTGTTTCATGGTATTTACTATAATGTATATTGACCTCGCATTTTGTAGTAAAAGTGGCTGCCAGTTCGCACACGGCAATGCCCCACAAATAGCCACAAAGCAAATGACCGTATTTTATTTTATTTGAGGGATTGTTGGCCAGGACACCGGGAGAAACTCCTTTCGCTTTTCTCATGGTTCTATGTGATTTTTAAAGTCCACCTGGAAAGGCAGAACATCTCACCCGAGGGACAGCACCTCCAACAACGCAGCACTCCCCCAGCACTGCATTAGAGTGTCATCTTGGATTAATGAGTTTAAAGTTTCAACATGGGATTGAACCCCTCAGAGATAAGAGCGTAACTGACTGAGCCAAGTACTTCAAAGTGCTTTGAGACTTTAGCCTACATGAAAGGTGCTAAATAAGGGCTTTGTTTTTATAAATGTGGTAAAATCATTCAACAAAGAAGAAGTCACTGCACATTAAAGTAACTGAAGTGTTTTGAGACAGATGTCCTTCTGATGTGAATGTGAACGATTTATTTTTAACTAGTTTCTTCTTTTGTTTAAAGTTTCTCAGCTAGACCTAACTGGAACTTTCATACCTAACTGGAATTTTCACACCTACTGCAACTTTCACACCTGTTATGATCACTAGTATTTCTCTAGCTCAATGTGCAATAAACTTATCTGCTTCTTCTGAGACTACAGTTACTGCAACTGCCCACATGAATACATTGATTCTGACTAATCTAATAACTGTTTTCTGTGTGTGTGTGATTGTATATATATATATGTATATAGTATAACCAAAACTCTGGCATTTCGAAACACTCTTACATGTTCTAATGTTAATTATTGGTAAGTCGACCTTGAATCTTGTGCTTCCAGTTGTTGATTAAAGGATGCTCCATGATGAGGCTCAACAATTGCATCGTCCTTGTTAGTGCAACATACCTGCTATTGCATGTATAGGATTTTTTTTCTGTCTGTTTTAGATTTTGTTTTGAAAATGTCTGTATTGGAGACAGTTATGTTTTTCTTTGCAGATTGGTATTTCTTCTGGGTTCTTAACCAAACAGGAATTAATCAGTAATGTATGTGTCGAAGCACAGTTTAAAATAAATCTTTTTGCGATGGTACTGAGATAGCCAGTCACATCCCTGAGAACCAGAATTTATATTCTGAAACCTTTGCATCTTTTTCACAGAATGTAAAAAAGACACAAGACGGCTAACTGAGGGCTTCACTGTGACCCTTCAACCCAAGGAGATAAGAACATTCTTTGTGTATTTTGGACAAGAGGGAAATGATCCACAATAACTTGAAATGTGAAACCTGAGAATGTTTAATTCAGAACTGTGTGGTTATTTCAGCCATACCATCACTGAGGCGGTATGACATGCTCTCTCCAATCCTCCCCCCCTCCATAACAAGTCTGTATCATGTGTTCAGCATATAGATTGCTGTTTAACTCTTGTGCAAGATGTCGTCGGGCTTGCATTTCACCATTGGGTATTGGAAGAAAGGTCTTAAGTTCTTCGCTGTGTACTTCCTGCACTTGTCTCACAAACCTTCCAAACCTAGCCTTATAAAGCACCTTTCCACTGACCAGAGTTAGCACTTAATTGCCACCACGCTTTCTAAGGTCTAGTTAAAATACATATCAATCAGACTTCAACATCCTGACTACATTTATTCAATATCAATTAATGTGTCCATGGCTTTGTATGCTCTGTGAGCAGTTACACCTCAGAATATCAGTGCCTTGAGTTTCCAATTTAGACACCTTCTTATTGAGTTATAAAGACTCATTGTTCATCATCTGTTTAGCTTCCCATCTGCTCCTGGTGGGGTTTAGACAGGGTCTCCTACCCTCCTCATCTCGTCGCTTTATCTATTTTTCTAATTCCCTTCTTAAACTATCACTCATTCTGCAGTTCAGCTAGGAATTTTGTAATTTATGTTTCCCAACCTGGTCTGCCCATTTTAATCTCCATTCCTCAAATTCCTGTTTCTTTTTCTCCATCACCTCTTGTAGGGAATGTACTGCTGCCTGGGCTCTACTGAGTCCTTCCCTCAAGATTGTATTACCTTTTTCTATGGCTCTTACATCCTTGGCTGTTTTGAACTGTTGTTCTAACCCCTCATTTTTAATTATCAACTGCTCTCTTTTTCTCCTGTTTCCCATTGACTGCCTGGAACTCCACCTTTCATAGTCACACCAAACACCACTGCACTATTATCAAATGACACGCACAAGTATTTTAAAAGGCACATTAAGAGGACTTTTGTCTGACATTCTGTATTGCAGTTATAGACATAGTTATCAACTCATTTGGGCTCTCAAGGTGTGAAGTCCCATTTGGACTAACCTGTTCTCTGCGCTGTTTTGTGGACAAGCTTTTACATAATCTATTACAAGCTTTTCCCACTGTCCATTTACCTGCAATCTGAGTGGGACTTATTTGGTCATTCAATCCACGACTGTTTGTGGCACCGCAATGCCTTAAATTATGTTGGAGTCCGTAATACATAAAATAAAGGTACTTACTGTTTGAGCAACTTGAGCAAACTAACCAACTTTGTTAGATATCCCTCCAAGGTATAACTGCTACCTGCCTGCTCAAACACCTTGTATTTATACCTTTGTTTCCATGCTCTGACACTTACAAAATAACACAAGCCAAAGCCCTAAAGCATAGGGGTGTCCTAGCTGGACAAGCAGCGCGAAAGTTTGCAAGACAATAATATCAACGGCAAACTATACGGATTTAGACTCCAGCAGTAACCCCAACGCACATTCTGGAGGTCCCCAAGCCTTGGCTCTTGTCAACCTGCCCCGAATAATTTCTGGAATTCAGTAAGCAGGATGTGTCCCTCCGAGGAGAGTTGTGCATTCCATTCCAACAGTCTATCTCTGGGATTTCCACGTGATGGTGGGATGCACGGAAATCTCAGCTTGGTTTGGATGCTCTTAAACATGTTGATGGCTTTCCGCAAGTGGTAGACACCCAGCTGACCCCCAAAAAACAACCAAAACAATACCATGCAAGCAGGAAGAACAACAATCTTGCAGACAGTGTATTCAATTCGCCATTCAAACGAGTAGTCAATTGAGTTTGTAGGTTCCTTGCCCGTAATGTCACCACCACCACAGAGGATGCCTGATTTTCCCATTTACTGGCACACGTCAACTTCATTTCTATATTAGGGGTAATTGTTGTGTAGTCATGATCAAAGCTGCACATGTCTAAGGTGTATTGCATTGGTTGCTCGCCAGGTTTTGAAATTCTGTGATTTGCACAAGATGACATATGCACAAAGCTACTTATAAAGTGGACTGTGAAAGGGTTGTTCTCCCTTTCACTGCTCTACGTGAAAGTTTCTGTCCTGTGGGCTGTCCTGCTATTCACCTACCCTATACGGAGTGCCTTAGGGTTAAATATCTTTGAGCCCTTGACTGGATTTCTGGTCTACTGCCCCCTGGCTCCTTCCTCTCTGCCATCTCTACTCTCCTCTCTTCCCTGTCGCTCTGCTCCAAGCGCCTGCTCATAATGGGCGATTTCAACCTCCAACTAAACTCCCCTTGCACCACCACTTCTGACTTCACTGCCCTCCTCCTCCCTAAACCTCACCCTTCTCATTAATTCACCGACCCACAACCGTGGTCATGCCGTTGACCTCATCATCACCCACAGCCTTGACATTTCCAACCTTAGCATAGTGGACAAGGCCATCTGGGACCACTTCCTCATCTCCTTCTCTCACATCCCTTTCTCCTCCACCAAGCCCTCAACCATCCTCTGCCACCCTTGGAAAAGGCTACCCCCTGAGATCCTCACAAAGGCCCTCACATTCTCCAATATCCTATCCCTCTGGCCTTCCACCCACAGAGATCCTGAGGCAGCCGTCCAGCTGCTCCATGATCGCCTCTCCTCCACCTTCAACTCCCTGGTCTCCCTAAAATCCAGGACCATCTCCAAACCCATTCGATCCCCCTGGTATAACAATCATCTCCGCTCCCTAAAAACCCAAATCCGGCTGCTCGAGCGCAGATGGCAGAAAACTGGCCTCACAGTTCATCACCAACTGTGGCTCAAGCATCTCCACAGCAACCGCCATTCTTTGACGCGAGCGAAAACAGCCTTTACTCCAACATCATCTTGGAGGCAAAAAACAATCCCAAAAATCCTTTTTTCCTCCACCCACTTGCCTCCTCCATGCCCCCCTCAGGCCTCCTCAATCTTCACATCTAATGCCAAATGCGAGGAGGTCATGGACTTCTTTTCAACCAAAATATATAATGTTCGCTAGGCAGCCTCATCCTCCTGCCTCTTGTCACCCACCACCACCCCCTCTCCATCCCCCTCACCCTCCCCATCATCAGCTCTTACCACGACCCACATCCTACATTCTTTCCTCCCCATCTCTTCTTCCTCCCTCTCACCCACCATCAGTTCAATGAAACAGAACTCCTGCTGCCTCGACCCTTCTCCCCACCAACTTACTAGTTACACAGCTCCCCCTCCTCTGCCCACTACTGTCTGATGTCATCAACCAGTCCCTCTCCTCTGGATCAGTTTCTGGCCCCCTCAAAACTGCTGTCATCACTCGCCTCCTCAAAAAACCTTCCCTACATCTCTCAAACTCTAGTCACTACCGCCCTATTTCAAACTTGCCCTTCCTTGCCAAAGTCCTAGAACGCATTGTTGCCAATCAACTTCGCAAATACCTCTCCTCCCACTACCTCTTTGAACCCCTCCAGTTCGGTTTCCGCTCTGCCCACAATACAGAGACTGCGCTTGTGAAAGTCTCAAACAACATTCTCTCTATCTGTGACCAGGGCTTCCTCTGCCACCTTGTCCTCCTGAACCTCTCCACCCCTTTCGACACAGTCGATAACACCATCCTCCTCCACCGCCTTTCCTCCGTCATCCACCTAATTGGAACTGCACTCGCCTGGTTCGAGTCCTACCTCACGAACTGCCAGCAGTACATCTGCACAAGCAGCTTTTCCTCCCACTCTCACCCGGTTACCTGTGGGGTACCCCAAGGATCCATCCTTGGCCCCCTCCTCTTCCTAATCTATATGCTCCCTCTAGGGGATGTCATCCACAGACGTGGGGTACACTTCCACATGTATTCGGACAACACGCAACTCTTATTTTTCCACCTCACTTTGCGACCCCCAGAATGCCTGTCAGACATCAGGAGCTGGATAAACGTGAATTTCCTTCAGCTAAATGTTGACAAGACGGAAGCCATACTTTTTGGCTCTCGTCAACGTCTTAAATTGCATGATTCTCACCTCCTCCACCTACCCGACCTCCCCCTAAAACTCTCCAAACCCATACGCAACCTAGGCGTCATGTTCGACCCCCAATTATCCTTCCTCCCCCACATCCGGTCCCTCATGAGCACCGCTTTCTTCCACCTCCGACGATTGCCCGTCTCCGCCAATACCTCACCCCAAAAGCCGCGGAAACCCTGGTCCATGCCTTGTCATCTCTCGGCTGGACTATTCAAATACTCTCCCCTCCACTACCATCCACAAAATCCATGTCATCCAGAATTCTGCCGCCCACATTCTTACCCGCACCAAACTCCGCTCCCCGATAACCCCAGTCCTTGTCAGACTGCAATGGCTGCCTGTCCCAGAGAGGATCAACTTCAAGATCCTCACCTTTGTCTTCAAATCCCTCCACTCCTCTGCACCCCCCTACCTCTCTGACCTCTCTCCTCACAACAGTGCCCGTTGCCTTCACTCCGCCGGGTCTGGCCTCCTACCTGACCCCCGAATCCTCCGCTCCACCATCGGCGGCCGTGCCTTCAGCCCCTACGCCCCGAGGCTCTGGAACTCCCTTCCTCACTCCCTTCACCTCGCCTATTTTCAGGTCTCGGCTGAAGACCTTTCTTTTCGACCGTGCCTTTGGTCACCTTCCTCCCCCTCCCCCCGGCTCAGTCCTGGGATCCGTTACTGCAAAGCGCTCTGAGACGCCGTCCGGCGTGGAGGGCGCTATATAAATCCAAGTTGTTGTTGTGCCATTGATGTACTTAATAGAAATTGTGGTAAATCTAGAAATGTTTATCCGTTCTGTTAAATTTCTGAGCATGTTGTGCACTGGTACAGTTAATCATGTCTGTCACGTTAAATTATTCTTGTAAACATTGTGCACGCACTGTAATAAAAACCTGAATTTATAACTTTGTGAATTTTACATATTTTTTAGGAAATATTGATCTCATTTAAATTTCCTTTTCCCGTGGGCCTGAAGGCTCGAGCACCAATTCACAGACAAGGAGAGGGCATCCTTAGTGACTGGTAGCCAGTCTTAACTGCATACATAAGGGGTAGGCAATGCGACAAAGATAATTCCCAATTTTAGAGGAATAACCAATGATTAACAGACTAGGGCACTTCAGTCTTGAGAGAAGACGTCTAAGAGGGGACTTTATAGAGAGATATAACTCTTGCAAGCGAGAGGCCTGGGTTCAATTCCCGGCAGGCGAAATGTTGGACAAGTTTCCTCACTCCACATGCCTCTGTTTACCTAGCAGTAAGTAAAACCTGTTTTTTAGTTGATTGCCGGATCACTTTCTGGAGATAATAATCCCTCCAAAACAAATTGGTCACTTAATCCACTGCTATCGTGGGACACTGCTGTGTGCAATTGGCTACTGCGTTCGTCCACAAAATATACAGTTAATTCACTTTACAATATTTTACAAGTGCTTTGGGACGTCTCAATGATGGTATCAATGTGCTGTATCAAATGAAAGGATTATATTATATAATGTGTGTGTATATTATCGACTGAAACAGATTGTCAGGAAGGGTGGTTGAGGCCAGGACATCAGACTCGTTTTAAAAAAGCAGCTTGAAGCTGTGATGAGGGGACGGTGGGGTGGGTGTTCTGGAAAGATGAGATTGGATGGGCCAAAGGTCCTTCTTTATCCAAACTTATTTTGTGAATTAGCCAAGGACTATGCACAAGAATAACCTGAGGTAATGTGTCTCCCCTCACTGGGGAAGAAGTGCCTTGCCCCTCATTAGGTTGGCTTATCTTCCACCGCCTCGTGGCTTTGTGTTATGCTAGTGGTTATAGAGATGCAAAGCCTGATCTCTTCACATGAGGAAAATATAAATTAAATTTGTTCCTCTCTGTTTTGTTTCTCGGAAAGACAAATAATAAACCCAGAAAGGCTCTCTTTTTCTCTCTTTCTCTCTTTCTAGACCAGTGGGTGCCAATCTGTGACACTTGCCCCTAACGCCGAACATTTGCAAGAATCTAGGTAAGTCAAGGATCAGTCAGTAGTGTGTTTCCAGTTATTCCTTGATTTATGCCATAAATCAAGAAATATTCAATCAATAACGTTTATTTTGTTGGCCGACCATAAAGGTTGGCTACCACCGCTCTAGACCATGTGTTTTCAAACGGTAGGGCTGCCCTGCTGAAGGGTGGGTGCGATGAGGATACCGGGAGCGTGGGGACCTGACTGGTTAAGATTTTTTTTTATTTCACGCTTTTCGGCTACCGCTCACCGTGCTGCTTCCTACCTCCCGCTCTGACCTTCTTCCCGTCGAGGCAGCACAGAGAGTGACAGGAAGAGCGTCGGAGTGGGAGATAAGTATATCTTTATGTAATGCAATGGTAAGTGTATTTTTATTATATTTTTTATTATTAAATATTAATGCTTTTTATGGTAAATATATGTGTTGTGAAAAATGAAGGCCAAATGCCAGGGAGAGTTATATGAAATGCACTAAGTGCTAAGCCTGGGGTTCACCAACAAGTGTTTATCAAG